CTTCGATCTCAGGAATAAATTCCATTTTAAAATATATTTAAGTAGAAAACAGTTCTTTTATATTGCAATAATATGTCACAATTTTTACTGTACTTTTAATCCAAATAACGCAGCCTGGCTGAGCAGAAGAGACTTCTTCTCATCGACCCCAAACTTTTGAATACTGGTGTATTTATTTTTCATTATAGGCTATATAGAATTCATGCTGGAATTAGCACTGCTTTTAATTTATAAATACAAAATGAGACTCATTTGCCCATAGTTGTCTTGAATATAATAAAATCTTTCTGGTCTTAAAACAGGCTTCTTTTTTGTTATGCACAATGTAATTTATTTGATTTTGCAGTGAAATGTGACCTGGACATGTTCTTGACAGATTTCATGACATTCTCTCTCTCACACACACACACACACACACACACGCTGATATGACAGCTCTAATCTCTCCATGGCTGAAAGAAATGAAAGAATCTAATTAGAGCGAGTGTGTTCCCGGCGCAGAGCTGCCGCGCGTGTGTTTCCAGCGGCTCTGTCACGGACTGAACTCAAATCACAGTGTGAATCGGTGCAGCTTTGTTTCACATCATTATTGCACACCACATCTGATTGTTGCACTGGGCAAATTTTCCAGGAAACGGGGATGGGAAAGAGAATTGCGATAAATCAACACACACATTCAAAGACCCCATGACATTCAAATAGAGAGTTTTGTGGCTTCATATATGCTAGTGCACTCTTAAAAGCTGACAAAAAAAATCAACTTTTAGAAGATGTATACATTAAAAATAAAAAAATAAAAATTTAGCTTGATATGCAACTTAACTGGGCATCATTGACCAATGGCATGTAAACTATTATTTTAAAAGCGAAAGAAAGAAAACTGCTTTCATGAGGTCTTCAAGTGTCCCATTTGAGATGAACATCTCTCTCACACACACACACAGAGACAACAATGAATCCACCAGAGATACTAGAGCAGATAAAAGCATAAATGACTGGAGGTCACATTTATTAAACGGATCATGTTTACTCTCTCTCTACTCTGTGGTTTAGTATAGTCGATACACCAATACTTCATTTTTAAACACTTGTGCCTCTACACATCTTAATACACTTATTGCAACGACAGAGGCCTTGGAGAGGGATTCGAGGGGGTGTTGGATTTGCTACCTGACACAGAAGGGAAGCCACGGGTGGATGTGTGTCCTTTATACAGATGCGACATTTAAATGGAGAGCCGACTTGTTTTAAGCAGGAAACGTTTCACTATCCATTTCGTGACTTTCTTTTTTTTTTTTTTTGTGCCAGCTGGCTTTAGTCTGTTTCCACACAGAATAAACGGGAATTTCCGACGGTCATGTGGAGTCCGATCGATCAAGATGTCCGTTCACAGAGCGTCCGCTTTCAGAACCGTCCAATCACAGGCTTATTCTATTCCAGACTGTCCAATCCAATTCATCAAATCCATCTGAGTCTCTGCTGGCCCCGCCTTCCCCGTCTCTGGCCGATATAAACTGTACGTCAGCCAGAGGTGATACAGTAGCTGCGAACGCAACAACACCCGCTGCATCAGTAATGCGCTTCAATATGTGCAATTTATTCTTTTTTGAACATTTATAGACAAAATATATTGCATCTTTGAACAAGTGAATCTCATAAATAATGTCAAAAAGCATCTCGGTCAAATTTAACCCTGAAATAAAAAATAAGAAATTATATTTTGCATGAATAAAAAAGGAAATTATAACATTTTAGGACCGTTAAGATTTGCATTCTGATGCTGTGTTTTGACACGATTCTTTTGTACTGAATTCATAAACTAAAACTGTTAATTGAAATATAATAAACTTGAACTGAAATATAATAAAAATGTAAAAAAAATGAAAATGAGAATGACTTGGCAATTAGCTAAGTTTAACTTGACGTACTAAAATAACAAAACTGTGCAATGGAAAAATAAATACAGGTTTTATATTCTTTATGCAAAATATCATGATTAAATGTGACCTGATATTTCTTTGTGAGATTCACCCTAACATCATAACATAATCATTCACCTCTGAGTACATCTCTTATTGCACATATGATCATATTTAAATATTACAGCTTTTCAGTGATTTACAATCAAACATTGAGGACGTGCAGAGTGAGAAAACAGCATTTCAGGTGTACACTTACAGGGCTCTTTATTGCTTGCGAAAGCATTTCAGGTAACATACTGTGCTGGGTGTGACACAAAGTGGCAAATGAAGTTTATGCTGAGGATGCGTGACAGAAAATCTCCCTATGCCAGTTGCTTAGCAACCTTCCCTTCTAGATTTACTCACATGATGCTCAGGATAAATCTCTAAATTATCTCTCGATTAAAATCCAGCATAATTAGCATTGGCTAAAAATACATATGTATCACACAGAGTATAGAGGATGCAGATGAATGACTCGGGTGACGTGAGTTGGTTGTCTGTTAATAATGAATGATGAAATATTTTAGATCAGACCATGTATTAAATTACTTATGACTATGAATGTGTCTGCAAGCATGAATAGAAATACATGACTCATTGATGCATTTACAGTTTACATCAAGAGAGCAAACTAAAGTCAACATGGAATCAGAAACACGTTTTAATAAAAACATACCGTTCAAAAGTTTAGGGTCAGTAAGACTTTTTAAATGTTTTTGAGAGAAGTCTCTTATGCTCATCAAGGCTGCATTTGTTTAATCAAAAATACAGTAAAAATGGTGAAATATTATTACAATCTAAAATAGCTGTTTTCTATATGAATATATTTGAAATGTAATTTATTCCTGTGATCAAAGCTCAATTTTCAGCATCATTACTCCAGTCTTCAGTGTCACATGATCATTCAGAAATCATGTTGATATGCAGATTTGTTCAATTATTCTCAATTCATTAATAATGGTTCATATCTTGAGCAGCAAATCATCACATTAGAGTGATTTCTGAAGGATCATGTGACACTGAAGACTGGAGTAATGATGCTGGAAATTCAGCTTTGATCACAGGAATAAATTACATCTTACAATATATTCACATAGAAAACAGTTCTTTTACATCATAATAACATGTCACCATTTTTCCTGTATTTTTGATCAAATAAATGCAGCCTCATTGGGCACAAGAGACTTCTTTCAAAAACATTATAAATCATACTGACCCCAAACATGTGACGGGAAGTGCATTTGCTCCGCCTCTGAAATGTTTTACTTGTTCAACCCTTAGTTAGGTAACGCCCACTTTTCACCATCCAATCAATTGCAGTATAAACCACATTTCATGTTGACTTTGAATGCTTTCTTTAAATCGTAGCAACATCTGACTGCGATTTGAACAAGTTAAGCCAATTAGAGTCATTCTCTCTCCCCAGTGACATCATCATCACACAGCACGAGAGCGTCTGTTACCTGTGAGTCTCGTCTGGGCCGTTCCCTCCCCTTTAAGACAGAACGTTCCCCTCTGTTCGGCTGAACCCCGTGAACACAAGCTCTGTGCAGTTATCTGTGTGTACAACCAGTGTAATGATGCCGTTTCAGTACGTGCCAAGAGAGGGTGGAGACAGAGGTCATGCATGAGACGGCTCACGGGTTCTCCACTGCTTCAATCAGATCAACAACACACACACACACACACACACACACGTCTCCAGACAGAGCGGTCCATGCACACACCGACAACAAACTGGTAGCTCCAAACATGAACATTTATACAGACAAACAGACAGTGACGTCGTGCTTTTCTAATTATATCTCATTCTGCTCTTGCTTTTGGAAGCATCAAAGTTTCACCTGCTCTCTCCCTGAATAAATGTTTTGCAAGTTAATGCAAGAAGATCAAATCAAATGAGTGAAGCTCACGAAAGCAAATGAAGCCAGTTTAAGATCATTTCCATTGTGACATTTTCATATATTGTCATATATTATATATTGTCATATATATATATAATTTAAATTGTAAAGTAATTATGCATCATGGTAGTATTTTATTTTTAAAAAATCTGATTACTGTTAAACAATATATATTTTAAATTTAAATTGTGAAATAATTATGCATCATGGTAGATATTTATGTAATTTAATTACTTACTAATTTATGTTAATTAAACAAATACAAAAAATACTATTATACAAGAATGATAATCTAGTCAGATATTTATATTAAGTGGCTTTAAGTACTATGCACTTACAATGAAATTAATAAAATTTGATACAATGGACTTAGTGTACATACATGTTTTTACATTGTAGTTATATTTTAAAAATACCAGCATGTAATTACAGCTGTAATTAATTTATGTAATTACATTTGTAATGACACAGTTTGTTACATGTATGTCCTGTGTTTCCCCCTGCTTAGTGTTTTTGGTTCAGTCCTGTGTCCCAGTTTTCCCGCTCCTCGTTAGTGTTTAGTTACAGCACCTGTGTCTTGTCTTCATCAGTTCATTCACCTGTGTTCAGTCTATTACCTGATTATGTTCCTTTATTCAACCTTGTATTTATACCATGTGTTCTCCCTCATTCTTGGTCCGTTCTCGTTTATGTATAGTGTGGTTTTTGTGGTCTCCTGAGATTTTGTTTATTAAATTCCTGTATTCCTCGTCTCCTCGTGCTTCTTACCACCACGACCCGTAACACAGTTGACCCTTCCCTTACACCTTAACCCACCCTTATACCGACCCATACCACACACACACCTGTCCCTAACCTTACCCGTATCACACCTCAATAGCAGCAAATATTGATTTGAGGGGAAAATGTGTTTAACTGAAATGTCACAATGCAAAAAAAACCTGTCTTAAAATAGGCTTCATTTTTTATTAAGCTATATATATATATATATATATATATATATATTCTATTCGGATTTTGTGAGATTCACCCTAAATTTTTTTTTTTTTTTTACTTTCTCATATCACTCATACAGTTCTATAAATAATAATAATCATTATATTCACAGAGGGAGAGTATAATGCATAGTGGGCGGAGTCTCTGCAGTGCATGTGTGAGTAGGCGTGGCCTCAGAAGATGGACGGGATAGGGGAACGGTGAATCGGACAGGGCGAGGTCACTGGAGAGAGATGGAGAGCGGTGCCGGCTATGTTGTTTAAGCTTCCGGATTTCTCATAGCCTTCAGACGTGAGAGAACGCAACATTAAGAGCACAAAGACACACAAAACAAATACAAAAGTGTCTCGTGGGACACGGTTACAGACGGGCGTGAGATATGCGCACACAAATAAGACCACATCACATTTACTGTGTCCAGCCATCAGAATGATGCAATTTTCAAACACTGAAATGTCTAGAACATTTATTTTCGTTTTTCATTTTGATCACTGAACATGTTTGTGTGCAATCATGTGCTCAGAAATTGTGAGAAACCGAATTGCTAAATTATACATAAATAGGGCATTATAATTTCCTAAACAAATTACTATGATAAGGATTTTCTCAAAGGACTAAAACACAGTTTAATTATGACGATGATGGTGAAGATGATGATGAGGAGGAGGAAGATGAGGATGATGATGAAATTCAACACACACAAAAATTCTAAGCCAGTCTGGATGGAAATGCCAACTAAAACTGTACAAAAGTTGCCAAAAAGCTCACAAAACAAATATAAAGAATGCGTCTTATTTCTGCCATTCATGGACGAGTTTCATCAATGATCAGCAGTTCAGTATATATATATATATATATATATATATATATATATATATATATATATATAGAGAGAGAGAGAGAGAGATCGAGAGAGTAGTGTACAGTAACAGTCCTGGCCATATAGGTAATTCTAGAATGTTGTTTACACATCATGAAACGATGATCAATGCAAGTAAATGATATTGGTTAGTACGTACAGTATCATGTATATCTGATTGTAATAGTACATTATAAATTGAAGACTCTTGGTCATCAGGATATTCAATACAATAAAATAAAGCAATAATATAAATATTGGCCCTGTAATACTATAGCTTGTAGAGTGACTTGTCATGCACAGCCATAAAGCAACAATGAGCCTGTTTACATGCAAACCAAACCAATATGCTGATAACTCACAAAAATCCGCTTATTGAAATAACCTGTTGTCCCGGTTTACATGCAAACCAATAACCCGGCAATGCAGGCAAACCGTCAAAATGTAATCTGACTGAGTATTTCACATGTTATGTTTGTTGTGATAAATAAAGCATTAAAAAGCGACTCAATCTTACAGACATATTATCCTCTCATGCAGTTACAGATGCTGCATTTTTGACTGTGGCACTTCTGCACGAGAAAAACACATTTTTATCATTTCTGGGGTCAAGAAAGAGTCAGTGTGTGCAATATATCTCCTCCTCCCCATACAGCGAAACGCTCGCTCTGTCTGGATGCAGATTTGCAGTAAATTCGCAGTAAAGTTGCTTTCCTGTCACACATCACACACTTCAACTAAGCCGAAGTTTACACGCTGGGAGAAATCGGAGTGAGGGGCGAAAATCTTTAAGCCGTTTATGACTTTACTCCAGTAAAGGAAAACGGGTTAACGTGTTTACATGAGCACATGTACTGTCGGCTTATAAAGTGTATAACTGGTGTAAGAATGTGCATGTAAACAGACTAAATAAGTCTGTTTAGCTGGTGCTAACCTTCAACTGCCCTTTAGCACTGGTAGTGTTGAGGGGACGCCAGGCTGGGACAGAGTTTGACCTTACAAACTCGGCCCCACCGGGTGCCTTTGCCCTTGAGCTGGTCCACATTTAACCTCCCAGCAGGGTTATTAGCCTAGCATTTGTTGTCTGTCAAACAGTACAGCCATGTGGTCTTGGGTGCCAACTCAACATCTGCCTTGTTATAGGGTCATAATATAGTTAAGTATTCATGCAAAATGCAAAAGCAATGCAAACAGCCAGCCAAATAATGATGCATAGGTAGGACGGCAAAACAAATAGACTTTTAAAGAGGACCTATTATGACCTTTTGGGCTCTACTATAACAGGTTTTCATGCTTGAATGTTAAAAACACTTTTTTTCCCCACATATTCTCCATTGTTGCAGCACCTCTCTTCCCAGTCTGTCAGTAACGCTCTGTTTAGTTCCTGTCTCTATGAAGCCCCTCCTTCTGAAAAGCACAATATGCTCTGATTGGTCGGCTGGATCAGTGTGTTGGGATTGGTCGAGCGCTTCAAAGTGTGTTTGGGAAATGTCCCGCCCCTTCCCATAACCAAGAGGTTCAACACACTACTAACTAACTCAACCAGGCCACGCCCCTTTATTCTGCGTATGAATTATTTAAATGAGAAATACTGTGACGTGTTCGTTTCTGGATGAAAACCTTTAGACTACAATGGAGGCGTTTCAGGGAGTTCAGAAACACTGACACTGATATAGAGAATAACTCCCGCTGGAGGGACTTTTCATGCTCAAACAGCAACATTACACACTAAAGAGAGTTGAACATGTAAAAAAAAGCATCATAGGACCTCTTTAAAAAGGGAGGAGAGCCAGGAAAACAGACTCATATTGAGCACGGCAAAAACTATAAATCGTCGGTACACAATATAAAACTTCTGAACAGTTAAAGTTCTTCATTTCCATCCATGAGTCAATGTTTATGACAATGGATTGACAGATATAAGGGATGAATTGTGTTTGGAGTTTAGGAAATGTGATGGGCATTTGTTTGGACATATATGCTAATATGAAGAATGGAAGGCTTTGATTGGACGAGCAGAATATACCTGTTTTTCTAATAGCTGTATCTGCTGTGCAGGTGTAGTCGCTGGCGGCCAGTAGGAAGCACGTGCCTTCAGTGTGACGGTCCTGTTCACGCATGCTGGAGTGACGCATGGGTATCCGCTCCTCTGGAGACATGCTGATGTCACTTCCTGCGCTGCAGTCCGCAAACACTGGTGGGAAATGAAGAGCACGGGCAGTGAAAAACAACATCTGCTTATTTGGGACACGGAACAGCTAGAGACAGAGGTGAGAGGTCAATCACAAGACGAAAATAGGACCGAAATTGGGTTGAACGAATGAGTCATCAGAAGCTGTGTGTGTGTGGGTCAGGGTTTACCTACATTGTGGGCATAAATGTCCCAAATAAGGATAGTAAAACATGAAATTGCCTATATTGTTAAAGAAAAACGTCTTAAAAAAGATCCAAAATAATGTCTTAATGAAAATGTAACAATGCAGACAAAATATCATTTACTCGTAATAAAATCAGCAGAAGTCAATGGAAAATTATGCATTTGGAAAATAACTGGTATATGAAATATCTTTTTAAATGTATTATCTCACAGCATAATAATAACAACATAATAACACAACATTTTCATTAACTTTCAAGACTTTTTTGTCATTTGTAACATGACTAACTAATATGTAAAATCCATCGGTTCATATCAGTCCATTTACCATAAATAAAATATGCATGTGCATTTTTGCACTTCTCAATCGATCATGAACTACGGAGCCCCTTAAAGGGACATGATGGTGTGAAAAATATGAGGTGGGAGGAAAAATATATATTTCACTGCTTTCCCTTGAAAAAACGTTGTTTTCGCTCACGAAGAACAAAAAAAGTTTTGTGAATGAACGCAAAGATTCCTGGGGAACACAAAACTTTTGCAAGAGAACGCAATAGCATTGAAATAAAACTTTTCCTCCCATCTCGTTTCTTTATAGCATTTATTAATATATTGAATTAGCTTTATATTTTCAGTTTTCATCTTAATTTCAGTTATTTCAAGTATTAGTAATTTCGTTATGCGCTTTTGTCTTTTTTTTTTCTTGTTATTTCTATTTCAGTTTTAGCTTTGGTCATTTTACTACTTCATTTTAAACCTATTTTATTTCAGCTAGTTGCCAAAGCAGCATTTTTTTATTTATTTTTTTGCTTTAATTTTTCATCTAATATTTATTTCAGATTTTACTTAGTTTTATATTTTATTTTATTTCAATTAACGCAAACTCAATTTTAATAGTTTTATTTTAGTTTTAGTTAATAATAACAAAACTGGGGTGCGTTTCCCGAAAGCATCGTTAGCCAACTATGGTCGCAAGTTCCGTCGTTACCAATAGAGTTCAATGGGATTTGCGACCAACTTGCGACCATAGTTGGCTAACGATGCTTTCGGGAAACGCACCCCTGATCAGGAAAACACAATGATGACTTTTTTCCCCAACTTGAAAACAGGTGAGTAATGTATAGTCTGTATATACTGGAAACCCTGTAAAAAAAAATAAATAAATTCGGGTTCACCTGACCCAGATCAGATCCGCTACATATGTGTCATTTGCTCAAAAACAGTTGGACAGCTAATTTAAGGCCCGACTTTTCCCACTGTTAAATCCCGTGAAAACCATCGAACAGCAAAAGCACATCACATGTAAATGACCAACATGCACAGCATCCTAAAATCTGACCAGCATTAAACTGCAGTTTTGTCTCTACATTCAGACTGAAATTTCGCAGTGAAATCCAGCCCATCTTCAGGCTCCTGAATGCATCTCCGTGGCAACGGGAGAGATCTGCACCCTCTCTTATCCTCCGCTCTGCAAGGAATACTGGATCTCAAACGCCATCAGCTTTAACCCTCCAGGAGAAAAACACACCCGACTCAGTGGAATAGATGGCACAGTGCTCAGTTACTGAGTCTTACTTTACGGTATTCAGTGAAAAATTGTTCAAACCCTCCTTCCCACTTGTTTTCAATTCAAAAACAATGATGTCATTGATGTTTCATGCCATTTGGTTACTATGGCCTGGTATTAAGATGCGTTTTGGTCGATGGGGTCACAAGTAGACGAGGGAGACATTCCCGTTTTCACCTGGTGTTTTAATCAATTTCTTTTGTCCACTTTCATCCACTTCTATCCTGTTTTCTTCGAGGGGAGGGTAAATGTATGGGCTTTTTCAGATCTTTCAATCTAATAGACAAAATAAGCTTGCGCAATTTACATGTGAACGCGACCAGAGACAATGGAAAACCACACAGGGCATCAGCTTTCGTTTCTGCTCTGACAGACGCAAGACCGAACACTGTGACTGTGTGTTAGAAATCAGGGATGGTGAGAGAACATTGTGCTTGGTATGTTTTTCGTCTTCAAACCAAACGTGGGTCTTCACTCGACAAAGTGTAAATCCCGTCTGGCTAGAGCTCTTCCTATAATGTTCACGCATTATGTCAGTAGGCGGAGAGTAGACGGTCTTTTGCAGCTGTTCGAACGCATTTGACCACATGAGCGTTTACGCTACGAAAGCAATCTGGTCGAATGTGTTTTCGTCTATCTCTGAAAGTGGTCGAAAGTTGTCAAGCTCAAAACGTTTTAGACCCCGTTTACACCTGTATTTAGTGTCGTCCATTTGTGATCCGATCGACCAAAATGCATCTTAATACCAGGTGTAAACAGGGCATTTGTGGCATATGACTATCACACTGTCGTGCAACTCCATTTATGTATTTTAGTTTAACATTCAATCAAATTAACACTGTAAAAAAAGTTTAACAAAAAGAAAAGAAAATACCATTTCAGTCTATCTACTTCAAAATTCACATTTAATTCAATGTGCTTTTTCTTTGTAATTCTTTGTGAAATTTAATAGCATTTTCGGAGTGAATATATATTTTTTTTTCCAGCGTATTAGCTTTATCAACTTACAAACCCCCTGTGGTTTCATTGCGGATCCACATTTGAAAACCCTGTTCTACAGAGTACATCCAGAACGTGACACTCCACCTTTACATGTGTTATAGACCCTCTGAAGTGCATTGAAATGAAAAGACAGGGCGGGACATATCGATCAGCTCCTTCCCTTTTTTAAAAATACACAATATAGTTTAGTTTATATCACAGCTCGGCCAGAGCCGTTACGCTCGGTAAAGCCGCAGTTTCCTCCAAATATGAAACCGTCTCCTCCTAATCTCCATATCACATATAATGTAGGGGGGCGGAGCTTCAGTGTGGTGAGCAGGACGGCCGAGGGACGTGAGAGAACGTCGCGAGGCCGGTGGTGCGATTGCTAATGAGCAGCACCTGTGAAGCACACCGGTCTCGCATCTCTCACGGAGGAGCGGAAGCATAAAGGAGGAGCGACGGAGTGGATGATGGAGAGAGGAACAGGCCTGCTTTTGTTTGTGTTTTATTTTATTTTATTTTGGTAGCCAGCAGTCGTCCGTGAGGGGCTGCTGGCAGGTAGTTATATTTTATTTTGGGTAGCCAGCAGTTCCGTGAGGGACTGCTGGCAGGTATTGTGTTTATTTCATTTAAATAAAGTTTTAATTTGATTGTCCGCCGGTTCCCGCCTCCTTCTTCCCTGAACATTGCTACATTCAGATTCTAGAGAGCATTTGATTGGACAGAAAATCTAATAAGAAGCTGAACGTTATTTTTAATGTGATGACCAAAACATTATTTGTTCATGCATCAAAGATTACCCCCATTTATAAAACTAAAAGTTTCAAGATGTAGGAAAACTCAGTTATTAAAAAAATATTTTTTCTTTTAATAATAAAAAAAAAAAAAAAAAAATCAAGGAAAGTTCTCTGGCATTTCTTTCTTTTCGCTGTATCGTAAACGTACCGAATAGTGACACCACTGTGTCGTACCGAACCAAACCGTGAATTTTGTGAACCATTACACCCCTACTCTAGCCTGGATGCCAGCCGAGCTTAGCCCCGCCCACAACATTTGAGGATGGGAAGTTCGGTCTGGACTTGATCCGTTGAGAAGCAAGTATGCCCGAACCAAAGCTGTTCGGACCAATCAAATTGTCAGGTCGGGCTTTATACGATGATGGACAGATGATCAACAGTAGCGCAATCATCCACGTCACCAAAGTGTGCTTGGGTTGAATTCGTTTACAACAAAGAATGGCTGCCGCTGGAGAATTTAGATGTGTAGATTCAGCCATTGCGTCTGTTATAGAAGATGTAGACAGCGCATTCATTTTAAAAGAGGAACAGAAAACCGCAATCAAGGCATTTGTCGATCGGAAAGATGTTTTTGCAGTCCTTTCATGGGATTCGGTCTATCCAATTGAGTGCAGAGGCATTTTCTTTCCTGGTTGGGTTGAAACATACCCCATAATCACAGCCCAATGGAGCCGTCTCAGACTCACCCTCTGACTAGAATCTGAGTATGACGACGTCAGGCTACCCCTACTCATTACAGATGTTGATCTACCTCAAAGATTGCCTTGATTGTTCTACGTTTACACTTTTACATTGCACACATTTTGTAACATTTTATTTAAGTTCAAGAGTTTCTTTAAAACTTACTTTTTTATCTTGATATAAGACATAAAGAAGATTGTATTTACTTTTTGACTGCTAAAACTAATATAATTTGTTGTTTGCCTTAATAATGTGGATAAATAAATAAAAAACAGTGGTTTAAATTCAAACTTTTCTACTTGTCTTTAAAAAAAAAAAAGGTTACAAAAAAATGTCAATAATGTCAAAATACCAAACGATATGAAAGATTATATCGTGATAATTTTTTTTTGCTATATCGCACAGCTCTCAGCTGAAGTGATGTCATCAATATCATTGATCCATATCAGCGGAAGTGAGAGACTGTGAGTTTTGAATGCTTGCATCTTCTAAATGCGAATTTCGTCATTGTTTTGGAGCACAATAGCTTAGATAACAGTAAGACTAACATATTCATACTACAAGACAAAAGCCTTAAATGACAGCATGTGTTGAACAGGCTCTCACCTGAGCGGTGGCGCTCTAGTCCTCTGCCCTGCCCGAGGCACAGCTCTCCCTGCGTGCTGTTGCATGCTGTACTCAGATCCGTTTTGCAGTAAGACGGCGAGCCAGTCTGCACAACCTGAGGGATGTGTTTCTTTCTCTTCTTGGGGAGCTTCTGTTTGGCCATGGCTAGCGAGTAGTACATGCCAAAGTTATTGACGATGACGGGCACCGGCATGGCTATCGTAAGCACACCAGCGAGGGCACACAGCGCGCCCACAACCATGCCAGACCACGTCTGAGGGTACATGTCTCCATAACCTAAAGTGGTCATAGTGACCACAGCCCACCAAAAGCCAATGGGGATGTTCTTGAACATAGTGTGGTGGCTGGCCGTAGGGTCGTTCGGACTGGCTCCGATCCGCTCGGCGTAGTAGATCATGGTGGCGAAGATGAGCACGCCCAACGCCAGGAAGATGATGAGGAGCAGGAACTCGTTTGTGCTCGCGCGGAGAGTGTGTCCCAGTACGCGAAGGCCCACGAAGTGGCGCGTCAACTTGAAGATCCGCAAGATCCGCACGAAACGCACCACCCGCAAGAAGCCCAAAACATCTTTGGCCGCTTTGGAGGAAAGTCCGCTCAATCCGACCTCCAAGTAAAACGGCAAAATGGCCACGAAGTCTATGATGTTGAGGACGCTCTTGACGAACTCGAGCTTATCCGGACTGAACGTCACGCGCACCAGGAACTCAAAGGTGAACCAGAGAACGCAAACTCCCTCCACGTAGGTGAGCGCCGGATCCGTCTCGATCTCGTACTCCAGACTGTCGTTGCGAGACACGTCCGTCTTGTTGATGATCGTGTTGAAGGCCTCGTGGGTCTCCAGGCAGAAGGTTGTGATGGAAACCAGAATGAAGAACAAGGAGGCGAATGCAATGAACTGGGAAGAGAAAGAGAGAGAGACAGAGAAGTGAGTGCAGTTTCAAACAACGCCACTCTATTTACAAGGTCAGCTCTTGTTTAGCTTGAATGGCGCTGACATCCATTAGCAACTATTGGAAGGCTGTGAGCTTTTGGTCTTTATACTGTTATTCAATGTCCAGTTGTCCTTGTTTTTTATTCGTTGAGTCTTAAAAATGCTGTGTTTTCAAGGACACAGTGAAGGGAAGGAATCACATATTTCTATGAAAGCCTGTGAAAGTTTTGCCAAGCAGTGTTGGGGAAACTGTAGCTATTTGGGATATAATATAACTTATAACTTATAGAAATCATAAATTATATATCAAAGATTTTCTTTAATATTTAAGTATGATGTTATAGGTTTGTTTATTTTTTACGTATAAAAATAATATATATATATATATAATTGATTTGGAATCAGAATAGTATTCATTTGGCAAAAACAATTAGTGATTTTTTTTCACAAAATTACTGCAATAAGTAGGATTTATTTTCTATATTATTACATCGTTTTGAATAGATTCATGAACCACCCAAAGGAACAGACTCATTCTCGTGAATCGGTTCATTTGGATGGCCTGTTAAAAAGCATTTCCCAAAGCTTCATATGAGGGAGAGGCGCAACTTTTTGGGAAGGCACATTTATTTACAGTATCGTCTCAGATTTATTGCTTGTCTGTGGTACAGCAGCATTCACCGTGACATAAATAGCATTGCACTTTTAGTGAGTTTCTCTCCACCACCGTTGTCACGATAATGTGAGGCACAACAAAGCAAAACACTCTTCCAGTATCTTGGCCGGTCATCAGCGTGTAATATTTAATGTCAATAAAAGCCGTCAAATGAGTGAGTCAGACTTTATAGCAGCTGCGTTCAGCCCACACAACAGCACTCCCGTCCCGTCTGTCAACACATCACCTTAATGTCCACACAATTATTTAGAAAGCACACATCATAACAGACACTGTGTGGTTTCACTCAACCACAAACATACACACTCGCATAACTCAATAATACTCAATTATCGTATCTCCCCCTTATATTCACGGTGAGCCTGTGATGTGCAACTGCTAGAATAACAGATCAGCACAGACCTGAGAAATCTCCAGTCAAAGTACCGCTAAAGGCAGACGCCAGCTCTGCCGAATGTGAAAAGACATCAGCGCGGGACAGCCTGTCCCCTCTGGATAGCGTCTCAAAGGGGCCTGTCTCTCGCTTTTACTCTTGCTTTGTTTTAGCGTCCTAATGAGGCTTTAGCTCGTCTGGAGGGCTATAATCACTGCAAAGCCAGCAGAAATGATCAGGACCAAAGCATTATGGGATCAGACAATGAAAACAACCTCCAAACGCACTATAACAGGGTCTTTGTTGGTCTACTGCGCGTGCGGTACACTTGTAAGCAGTATCTAATGATCTTGTCATCCACCGCAGGCTTCAGAAGTCTAATGTGGGGTTTGGCAGTGAACGCAGCTGGCAGGGATCTGTGTGGGGTTTCACATCCACACTAACCTCGCTTTATACCCCGTGACTTCATTAGCCAAGCAAGCAGCCTAAAGCTTAGCTATGTGTACACTTATAGGCTACGTTCAGACTGCAGGAAAATGTGGCCCAAATCAGATTTTTGTTTTTCTCATGACAGTGTGAACGGCACAAACCACATGGAGTCTGATCTTTTCGATTATGGTTTGGGCCACTTCAATATGTGGTCCTAAATCTGATACAAGTCGGATGTTTTGCAATGCAACCGCATATCGGAATTCATGAGACCTTTACGTCACAATTCTGCGCTCATGGGAGTCACTTCAAAGATTTTACATACCAGAAATTATTAAGACAGTTGTGAAAGATAGTCAGTGGAAAGACAATTATGTGTCAGAACTTATAAGTGTTACAGTGACAGCTCTATACAAGAAAAACATCATAAATGTTTAAAAACTCTTTTTGCATCCTCGTCTTTGTTTGTAATATTGCCTGCGCATAAATTTCCTGGGTTCTGCGGCAGATCACATTATAAATAAATGCACAATCGCTTACTTTAATGTCATCCGTGTTTACTTCCGTATAACAGTGTGCTGCGTCACGTCTTCTTATCGCAGTTGGAACATAGCCTTATAGGGCTTCATTTGCTCTGATTCTAAACTCTAGTGAGCTGCTCTACTAGGCTGCATTTTTATGCACCTGACAAATAAAATGTCTCTGCAATTTCTATGGAGGCAGATTTGTGCCTCAGTCTAAAAAAAAAGCAAAAAGGTATTTGTGACGTAACATTTTAAATATGAAACAGGGACATTATGAGATAAAAAGTCACAAATCATATGCATGCATTTATTACAAAAAAGACAAAAACATTTTTTATATATATAAATATATTAATGTTTTCTTTGTAATGCATTCATGCATATAATTTAGGAGTGCATGCATATATACATGCAATTAAATCTATGCATTAAAATAAAAAAAACATTACAATAAATAATATTTTACGTAAATTAATGTATTCATTACATACGTACATATATATATATATATATATACACACACACACACACACACACACACACACACACATATATATATATATATATAGCCTATATATATATATATGCATATAATTTATTATTAATTTTGGGGTGTATATATGCATATGCAAGTAGTACATGCATGCATTAAAACCTTACTTAAAATATATATCCCTGAATACCAGAAATAAAAATTTGAGGCAGATGGTGGATAGAAATCTGATTAAAAAATACTGAAAAGTATTGCTAGAAAACTATTAAAGATGCACAATTTTGATGGACAATATCTGTCTAAAACTGAGATGTGCCTGATCATTTACAGAGCAGCATTTTAAATAAGCCACTTATGAGTTTTTATTCAGAAATGTTGAAGAAATGTATAAGAGAAATGTTGCCTTATAAAGGAAGACAGCAACACAGCTCATAGGTTTCAAAAATGCAGCTCAGTAAGCAAAAAAAGCAGTTGCCCAGGAGCAACAATATTTAGTGTACATTTGACAGTTGCGATGGACGGATTAGAACACCTGGGGGGAAAAAATAATAATTTGGAAATGTCCCTCATGACAGAAAAATCTATTTGAAGGAGTTGGGCTCCTCTGAAGAGAGGCTGGTATCTGTATTGACGTTGGAGCTGCTTTCTATGCTGATATAGCGGCTTTATACTCCTTTTCCGTGGAAAATGGATCAGACATGCACTCTTCTTGCACTCCCCGAAGTGTGTGTGCGTGTCATACCATAGATAGTGCTGTCTATGTGACAGGTTCTGATGCTAATAAAAGAAAGTTCTGCTTTTTATCCAAAGCTGCTTAAAAATGGTGATTGATTCGCGTGTGAAGCTGTAGACGTAGCTGTCGCCGTGAATCTGTGTGTGTGTGTGTTTTTGGCCGTGACTAAAGGTCACCTGTGGATGATTCTCTCAGGACCCCCAGCTCTTAACATATGGCAGACACGGCACCGTCTCCCAGGCAACAGTGTCAGGAAAAGCTCCAGAGCAACGAGACCCTGGTGTGTCAGACTCCTCTGAGCATGATTATCAGAATACACCCCATCTAAATCTCACACACACACACACACACACACACACACACACACACACACACACACACACACACACACACACACACACACACACACACACACACACACACACACACACACACACACACACAGGTTTACTTAGCTATCTAAATGAGAACAATGCATAGAATAATTTTATAACAAGATGATTGACAGCCCGGTTTACAGTGACAGAATCCATGTAACTATGAGACAGAGTGCAATTTCAATCTCCCAAAACCTGACTTTTTCTTCACAAAGAGTACATACTTTTAGGGCATATGAGTAGACGGATTGAGACACAGTATGCACATGATGCTGCACATGACACAATAGTCAAACGTGGAAGGAATGGAAAACAGCTTAGTTTCATAGACAGCAAAATAATAGATATAAAAAAGTTTGTAATTTGATGTTGGCTTGAGAAAGCGTGGTTTTAAAAGCTGGAAGTTTGTAGTTTTTTTTAATCTTTTTTAAAAAACAAAACAATTTATCACACAAAAGGTTAGGTTAAGCGCATTGCATTGTGGGATACAGTATTCTCTGTGGTGTGCTTTGTTACATTCTGCAAATTTAGTGCTTGCATCCATGCATTCAGAAAATCAGCATACTGAAATTTGCATGAAGTAATTTGGCGACAACATGGCATACTACTGTTTCAAATGTTCGCTGTTGCATAATGCATCACATACTGCTACTAAACATAGCATGTACTGTAGTACACTAGTGAACATAAAACAGTCTGAAGTAATGAATACAGATGAAGTGTGTCGTCGTCATTTTAGACCAGAATCAAGTCTTGTCACGGCTTTATTTGCCAGCCGGAGAGACGACACTTCAACGCTGTGATTCAGTCACTCAAATATTATCGCTGACACAGACTCGCTGACAGCTCTGTTATTATCCGACTAATGTATTGCGAGTAGTTCACGCACTTATCAGGGGTCTGGAGGACATCCCTGTGGCAGGAAAACGATGAATGTCACATGAAGGGTGAAAGCATATCAGAGCTTTCAGAGGAAATCTGCTCGGAGGTCCAGTTCTGAGATGTGTGTCTGTGGGTGAGTCGTGTGTGTGAATCACGTCTACAGGTGTGTCCTATAGTCCCTGTTCAACAGCAGGAGCGGGAAGTCCTGTCACACGAGCGGAGGGACGTTCCACAATCACGCTCGCTCCCGGCATGCAACTTCTTATGTAGGTCATGCAAAAAAAAAGGTGCCTGTGGATCTGTTCCAAAAACAAGCTAGCTACACCAGCGGCTCCCTTCTAAGGCAGCGTCCTAACAGGAATAAAAGCTCAGAAGTGACTTATTTAGAAGTCTTTACATGGACAGCAACTCTGCATGGCACATAAACAGTTTATCTCACATGGAGACTTGACTCAAAGTTGTTTTTAATCCGCATGC